ACCATTGGGGGGGGGCACACACCAGTGGGGGGGGCACCATTGGGGGGGCACACACACCTGTGCCATAGATTCCTCGGTCTGAACATGTTCTTGGCTTGCGGTAGCGGTCATTTGGAGGAGGTGTGGTTTGTGGTTGAGTTACGCACGGACTGTACTTTATTTTGGATGCCGGGTTGTTGGTCGGTGGAGGTGAAGAGGTTGCCGGATGTGGAATTGATGATGCCATTACGAAACGAATTATTCCCAGGCGGACACACGCTTGTGCAGTTGAAGCCGTCGTTCGTGGATACAATCAGTTTCATGGCGAACAAGAGTATGGCTTTAGAAGGTGTGGGAGACGGCAGCGACTTCAGGAATCGACTGGCAACAGGACGTATTACCCGAGTCAATGCGGAAAATGCACGACCAATCAGTGAAGCACACATCGTGGAACTACGCCCAGCCATGACCGTCGTGGGATTGCCCACATTAACCAGCTCCCATGAAATATCTAGAGCACTTACTAACGCTGTCAGCCTCAAGATACAATCCGCCTTCACCATAACAAAAAGTCAACCTCTAGGTCAAGTGCTCTATTACATCCTAAAATGCTATGACTCGGCTCACTATGATAAGATGACCCGCGTCATCAAATCACTCGTCACTACCGACCAACTCGTTAAAAAAATTCTCTTCGACCACCCATCCGGCACCGACCGATCCGGCAGCGACCGACACGGGTTTGACCAACCCGGGTCTGATCGAGGGGGACCGGATCGAGGGGGACCGGATCGAGGGGGACCGGATCGACCGTCAGGCAATGACCATTCGGGGTCTCCTAGTCGCTCGCCTGGTCGCTCACCTGGTCGCTCACCCGGTCGCTCACCCGGTCGGTCGCCCGGAAGCGGTCGTCGTCCCCCCAGTCCCTCGTCACCGGGCGCTTCGTCGCCCGGTGCATCTTCACCAGGCGCCACGTCACCGGGGGCAAGAGCCAGGGACCGTGGCGACAACATAAAGCACGAGCGCCGAGGTGACCGACGGAGTGACCAACGGAGTGACCAACGGAGTGACCCACGGAGTGACCAACGGAGTGACCGACGTAGCCAGTTAGGTGACCGACCAAGTCAGTTGAGTGACCGACGTAGCCAGTTGAGTAGTCGCAGCGGTCTGTTTGAAGAGGCGCGGCTGTGGGTTTACGAGGCACCGACAGCCAGTCCGGATTACTGGGGCTTCTTAATGATAAATGAATTGCAGTCGATCTCACCCTCACGCTACTCGGTGCTCTTCCAAGTACGCCCGTGTGGTCTGGGTTCACGTGTGCTTGTGAAGGCCTTACTAGCGGTTTACAAAATAACGCCGCTCAAGTCTTTACGAGCAAAGCCACAGACCCTGGTCCAGAGCTGTCCGGCTTTACGTCCGAGTGAGAATCCGCAATATGATATAGCAGCCTTAAAGGAGATGCTGGACCTCACATTATCGTGACCTCACATTGTCGTGGACCTCACATTGTCGTGGACCTTGTCGTGGATCTTGTTATGGTCTGTTATGGCATTTTAGAAAATGTGTGTGCAAGAACTCAAGTACTTACAATCGAGTGAAAAATGCAGGAGGTGTTCCAGAGGTATGCAGCCTTCGGTGCGAACCGTCAAGCAAAGGATGTTGGTTTGGAAAATGTGAAGTTTGCAAAGTTATGTCGAGAGAATGACTTGTTGGATCGAACGCAAGCAGATTTGGTTTGGACTAAAGTAATGCGGAAAGAGCGTAAAATGAATTTTGAGCAATTCAAGATTGCGCTTCAGGAGATCGCTAAGGTCAAGGGTGTGGATCTTACACAAGTTGAGGCCAAGCTGGGTGGTCCAAAGACTACGGGCGCCACTGAATTCGCAGATGATGATTGGGTCAAACGACAAACAGATGTTGGTCTTTACACCGGCAAGTACAAACATAAATTCGATGCGGCCACAGGCAAAGGTATCGGTGCAGCTGGTGATAAGGATGACTTCGTCCCACAAGACCTCACACAACTCCTCGACCGAACACCAGCCGACATTCGCGGTAGAAAATAGACCTCGAAAACAGAAACAAAAATCGACCTCAAACCAACAGGGGGGATCGAACCAACGGGGGGGGGGCTGAGAATTAAATGTAATGGATTTGGGCAGGTGGCTTTGGGGCTCGGATGAAGATGACATAAGTGACATTGATTGTACTCCCCAGGAGAGAGAGGACGACTTGGCCAGCAGGATTCGGCAACTCGAAAAAGACGCTCATTTGTCCGGGCCGATGCCCGAACGAAGTGGGCCAGCCAACACCAAGAGACCAACCGAGATGGCGGCCAGTCGGACGGGTCCGAGCCCGATGGGAGATCCTTTCGCGGCGGCAGATCCTTTCTCGGCGGCGGATGCTTCGCCGGCAACAGCAGACTTGCCGGCAACAGCAGACTTGCCGAGGACAAAAGACTTGCCGAGGACAGCAAAAGACTTGCCGAGGACAGCAAAAGACTTGCCGAGGACAGCAAAAGACTTGCAGATAGCGTCAAACTCCCTGTCGGCATCAAATTCCCTGTCGGCATCAAATTCCCGGTCGGTATCAAATTCCCCGTCGGTAGCGGGTTCGGATGACATGATTGACGTGTTGGGGATCGCCCGCCGGATGTGTGCCACGTGTGCAGTACCGTATGGGCTGTGGTTGAGTCGGTTCGGACCAGCGGCGGCGTATGATGCATGGTTGACGGAGGCGTCGGGGTCGGAGGTGGCGGCTACGGAACGTCAGACGCGAGCGTTTGTAGCACGGCGGGGTTATGGACCTCAGTTGTTGCCAGGCGAAGGTTCAGCTATGGCTGGTTACGTGGCGAGCGGGAAACGCATTCCACGGCGAGGCGAGGTCGGCTATAGTGCCGACGATATCGACTGTTTCGAACGATTGGGGTATGTTATGAGTGGCAGCCGGCACAAACGCATGAACGCCGTCCGACTACGAAAAGAGAATCAGGTTTACACTGCCGAACAACAACGAGCACTCACCCTCTTCCATCAAGAAGAACGCAAAAAAAGGGAAGAGGAAATACACGCTGAACTCCACCACTTGCTCCGTATGCCCACACACGGGTGTGTCCACACACACACACACGTGACGTCGAACACGTGACGTCGACACTTCCGATCACAGTGCCACCTGTGTAAAGTAGCCGACCATATTGACCAATGTGAAATGTATGAGGTATTCTTGCAGGATCACAAAAACAGAAAGCACTAACAGAAGATCCGGATCCCTGACCAGGCGAGCAGTTAGTGACCGGACTAAGTGATGAAGGTCCAGGCGCTACCGACGGTGTCCAGATCTTCTGTCTACGGTGGCCGGCCGCCTCCCCCCGCTTGACTTCGCCGCGTGCCGCTTGCCTCTTGACCGTCAAGACTCAGCCGGTCGAAAGGCCGTTGACCCCGGTGGCTGGTAATTATGCCGAGCTGGAAGCTATGCTGAAAGTTATGCCCACTCAAGGTCAAAGTGATGCAGCAAATGTATAGTTCTGTATCAAGCTGATGCAGTAGAGGTTACAGGAGAGCATACAGACTCGACGCCCGCGTGCTCACCTCATCGAGCAGGGGACTCTCCTCCGATGTAAGTCTCCCTTTTGCCATCTTCTGATCTCGAATATAGCTGTCAGTAATCCAGAATTGGAACGTATTTAAAACTAATGGTACGGCAACGACCACTAGCAACAATCGTAGACGTGGGTATTCTTCCAATGGACCTCTAAAGAAAAATAAGTCTTCTTCTTCCGGAATGGACAACCGCACACGGGTTCGATTCCGGCTCGGGTCCCTTACAGAATTATTAAACTCACCGGAGCCGTTATAACTTGAGCACTCATTGTAAATGTTAGACAGAGAACCTTTTCGACCATGACAATCATCTTAAAGACTTCACTATCGGAGGGTGTGAGTGATGCCAAAGTGAGTGATGCCAAAGTGGTGATACCAGGTGCTAAGCTTCGTAGTGCTGATGGTCACAGTGCTGTAGGCTTACAATCCATAAGGAGAGTTGACTGGCCCACGCTTTTAGCCCTGGAGGGTCCCCATAATATCCGAATCTGAATGAAATCTACAAAGTTGATGATTGTGGTAGAATTCTCACTCACTCCTTGCTTGTTGATTATAGCTACTAAACAGTTTAGAGCACAGCAGCAGAATATGACTCCCAACGTCGTGTCGAATAGGACATTGCTTAAATAGGCGGTACATTCATCCGCCTCAACCTTCGGCACTTTCACCGCGATTAATAATGAGACTACACAGACGACGGGATGGCTCATAGGGTCAGACTTGGAGAGGGAGGGTCAGACTTGGTGAGGGAGGGTCAGACTTGGAGAGGTCTGATACATATGTGAGCAATTGATCCACTAATGCTTTGTTTGGCGGTATCCATGGTGAATATTGTCCACGTCCGTTTAGGATGTTCCGTCATCCGTTTAATCACGAGGCTGGTTACGCAGACGGCAGCTAAGACTCCTTGCAATCCAACTCTACAAAGGGAGGGTATGATCCCCTCCCCCCCCCACCACGAGTAGATCTGGATAGAGTGTGATGCTTACCACGTACCCATATTTGTTAAGTAGTTGACACATCAATAATTTATATTCCGCCATTCCGCCACGGCAGCGAAGGAGTCGTAGAAGCTTGTCACCGAGCGTCCATGGGAAAGGATGTGTGGTGGGAGAATTGCGCCTGACGGCCGAAGAGTTGGAGTATGTGAATGCTTGCATTAAAGACTCTGGCTATCGGTTCTGGCCGAAGGGATTGGAAGAGGAACCGTTTGTAGAAGAAGAGGCCTCGGCGAAACGCGTGTCCAAGCGAGGAGCCGGGGCCAAACGCAAGTCAAATGCGAATGAGGCCAAACGCCGACGAGTTAGTCCCGTCTTCACCCCGGCCAAATCACGGAGCACCCGAGGGTCCGTCAAACACAAGGAGTCCGATGCCGAACAACCCGACTCCCGTGAGAAGACTCCGGAACCCACTGAGGAGACCGCACCACAACTCAAAACACCCACTGCGGAGGCACCCACAGCCATTGAGGAACCCACAGCCATTGAGGAACCCACAGCCGTTGAGCCCAAAGTGGTAGAACCCACCATTGAGGAACCCACAGCCGTTGAGGAACCCACAGCCGTTGAGGAACCCATAGCCGTTGAGGAACCCATAGTGGTTGAGCCCACAACAACAAAACCCGCAGCGGCGGAGGAGCCACCAGTGGTTGAGCCCACAGTGGAAGACCAATCCACTGCCGTTGTCGATGAACCCGTGACTCAAGAAAAACCTGCGGCCGAGAAATCCGCGACCCAGAAGTCCCTCGAGGAGCCTGCTCCCCTTGCGGCGGAACTAGCAACTAAACAGCCCGCGGACCCCGCCGTCGTCGACTGTATCGTTGGTGACGCCACCGCTGGCAATGCCGCCGTTGACGTTGGTGACGCCACCGTTATCGACGCCACCGTTATCGACGCCACCGTTGGCGGGGAGCTAGTGGGTGTAGAGCTAGCTAGTGTAGAGCCGATGGTTGAAGAGTCTGTTTCTGCGGAACAACAAGTGGCTGGTCACAGGGAGTCAGTTGCGGAAGAGAATCAGGTAGGGGAAGTGCGGGCGGCGAATGCTGCCGAAGATGAGGGGAGGGCAGTCGTGGAGGAGGGCGAACCACAACCGTCGCGGACGCCGAGACGCTCTGTTAGTGATGCGACTGGGGAGCTTGTGCAGGACACCCAGCTAATGGCGACCGAGTCAGGTGAAGCTCCTAGTCGCGAGTCCAGCGCTCAGAAACGTGCTACCAACGTTCAGGAGCCAGTTCCGCTTACGGAGCCAGTTCGGACGCGGGTTTCAGAGTCGTCCAGAACACAGAAGTTGTTGAAGTCAGTGCCGCCCCCCAGAGCTCAAGTGTCGGTGGTAACCCGTCAGGAGCCTCCGGTCGTGATGACAGTGGCCCCCGGGGTGGTTGCCAGTTCCACCGATGGTGGTCGGACGAAGATTATCAAGACGGAGCGGCGGTATAGTACTTCTACTGAACCAGTCATCCGTGCTGCCATGAAGAAGAACGAGTTCATTGTACACAGCGCCACAGCCACTTGGGAGGAAAGCTGCGGCAAACTCCTCAATGCGCTCGAAGACGAACCACACAGCAAGTGGTTCGCCAAACCTGTCGACCCTCAAGGGTCTGGTCTTCAAGACTACTATTCCAAGGTGAAGACACCCATGGACCTTCGTAAGTCACACACTATACGACTCGTACAAATTCTAACTCCGTGTAGAAACTGTTCGGCAGAAGTTGGAAGGGGGAATGTACTGCCACCCTTTTCGATGGCAACATGACATCAGGACTATATTCTTTAACGCCTTCTTGTATTACCGCCCAGGCGAGCCCGTATGGCGGTCGGCTGCTGAGCTGTCAGTGAAGTTCGAAAACCTGTGCAAGGTAATCCCCCCCTCAACCCTCCTCCAGTCGTTGCCCTTGGATCCGGTCCTCATGCCCCTGGTCCCCCCCTGGTCCCTGGTCCCCCCCTGGTCCCCCCCTGGTCCCTGGTCCCCCCCTGGTCCCTGGGTCCCCCGATGTGGATAGAAATAGTAGTTTTGTGTTTAGGAAGTAGTAGAGGTGAATCCTTACGCAGTGTTCATGCGTCCGCCTCCGGCGCCGCCGCCGCCGGCGGTCGTTCCGGTGGCAGTGCCGGCGGTTTTGTCGGCGTTGCGGACGGAGGAGTCTGTTGCGGTGGAGCCGGTGGTTCGTCCGGGGGGGTCTAGTAAGCAGCGGCGGGCGGCTTTACCGGTGGGTGTGAAGGTAAAGGAGCCGAATGGCGTAGTAACGTACAGTGCGGAGTGTTACGGTACTGACTTGGCTAAGTATTACGAGACGCATTTGCCGGCATCTGCGTTGCCGGAGCCGCGTTTGTTACTGAATAGTACAGAGATGCAGGGTGGTCGTAACCTGGTGGGAGTGTCTAATTCTCAGAAGAAGAACTTGCCGGCGCGTTTCCGAGAGTTGGACGTGTTTTACCGAAGGAGTTTATTAGATTGGGTTAAGGACGAGTTGGGGATCCATCCGTTATTGTGTGCTCTCGATGTCCGTTATATCCCGGAATTGGACTTGTTGCCGCCTGTGAAGGCGAAGCAGTTCTTCCAGTATATGCGTGCGCTGATGACGCAGCAGAAACAGGCGCAGGAAGAGCTGTTGTTGCCGACAACATTGCCCCGCATTTTGGCTTGGGATGTAGACAATGCTGCAATAAATCGTGCTGGCAATGTTGTGACGTCCGAGCGTGCGACGTTGCAGACGGGCGCCAGTAGTCTACCTCCGGGTGCCGGTTTGCGAACTGGCGCTGGTCTGCAGACGCGTGGTGGTGCATTACTGACACGTGGCCAACTTCCTGGGCCCGCTGTCCAGGAATCGTCTTGGAAGGTCGTTCAGCGTACTTCTGACGAAGAAGATGAGGAAGACGAAGCCAGCAGCGAAGCCACCTCCTCAAGCGAAGAGGAGAGCGAAGATGAACCAGCCCCACCCGTCTGGCAAGGCTGGACCGGCCTCGGGAAACAAAGAGGCGGCCTGGGACTTTGGCCACCAGCACGTCTAGCACCCGAACAACCGCAACCACCACCCGCCAATAACGCCTCCTGCTGGGGAGAGTGGAAGACAAAACTGATGCAACGAGAATTCACCCTCAAGTCAAGGGCCAATGGTGTCAGTGCCGCCAGCGAACTGGAGGCCAAAGCGGAAAAGGCAGACGCTGAAATTTGACCCGTAGCGGATGCTGGGATCGATCCCCCCAGTTGACTCTGCTGTCAAAAATAAACGAGGCAACCAACGTCTCATGAGACAACCAACGTCTCACGGGATGATAACGTCTCACGGGATGATAACGTCAGCAGGCTTCTCGCCATGAGCCAACTCGTCAGGAGCCAACTCGTCATGGACGTGTTGTTTGATCCACTCCTCCTGGGCAACTCTCTGGACATTTAGGATGCTTGCATTCAAAATGATCAACAACACTACGGCAGTCGCAATCCCTGCCGCCGTTCCAATCACCTTACATAGGTGATACGATATACACTCGGCCTGCCACCACACAGAATACATCGAACGCCTCCGCCCACAGGACGCGAGCCCGGGGGTTCTGGAGCCAAAGGGCTCGCCCTTCCAGGCAAACAAACGGAGACTGATACGCAGGGAAAGGGACAGCGGTGGAAGGGGGGGGGGGAGGGACGTGTTACCGCAAGTATGCAGCCTGCACATGTCTGGGGCATCGGTGTGGGTTCTCGAAGCAGTGTTATGTGGGGTCCTTTAAGAGTGTGGGGTGGGCCGGGGAATGCAAATTAAGCCAAGTTGCAGCCCGGATCGGGCAATCCCTTCGGTGCCTTCTTCCGCTTCGTTGTTTGCGACTTTGCTGGCTTAATCTTCAACCGTCGCATAGTCCGACTAACCGGCTTGCTCTGGGTTTCTGCGCCATTCTTTTCCTCTCCACTAAACCCCATCGCCTCATGTTCGGTCGCCTTATGTTCGATCGCCTTATGTTCGATCGCCTTATGTTCGATCGCCTTATGTTCGATCGCCGCCTCTTGTCCGCCGGTGGTGATTCCGGCGCCTCGTGCAAGAAGGTTGAGTGCGGTGTCAGTGAGTGGGCGACTATCCACCTGTGGGAAGGTGCCAAGTCTTTTTTGTTTGCATGTGATCACGGCGAGTGTCCATGGTCGCGGTACGGCTTGAGAGCCGAAGCGTGCGCCTAGTAGTGCGGCGGCGATGCAGCCGTTGGTGTCTGTATCTCCTCCGCGTCGCACGATCTCGACGAGTCCCTCATGGAAGGATCGTGCATGTAATAATTGATCAAAGCCCCACTGCAGCGCCACGCCAAGATAACCCATATGTTGCCCATCAACAACAGCCGGGCTACCATCTGGCAACTGGACAACCTGTTCTCCACGTTCCGCCGCTGATAAGAACCCCTGAACCAATTTACTGGAACTCGCCGCAGCTTTCGCGCGCTCCATCGCACACGATACATCTCCCGTCCCAACCAACGCACGCAATCCAGCCACATACGCCGCCACAGCCGCCTGAGCATCCACGTGAGGATTTGACAACTCACAGTCCGCCCTCGCCGCATCCAACAACACCACTTCCGACCACCCCGCACCCACCAACGCCAACGGACTGGCACGCATTAAACATCCATTGCTCAAACTCTCCCCGTTCAATAGCCGTGCCTGCTCCAACATTGCCGTCTCCAACCGTTCACCAGAACTGGGACCAGAACTGGGATCAGAACTGGGATCAGAACCGGGATTGACGGCGAAGGCATTACGTGTAGCGTTTCCCACGTCGAAAGGGCCCGAGTCGAGCCAGCCCTTGTACGCGGCAGCAGCGGCCGCTCTATCGTAGCGCCCGTCACGAAGTGTGGCAGCCAGAGCCATAGCCAACTCGGTGTCGTCAGTGACCTGGCCGCGCTCGAGCGCAAAGGGGCCGCCACCTAAGATGGGCAGTAGGCCGTCACGCATGTCTCCGGCGACCTTTGCGGCTGCACGGGGACCAGGACTGAACTCGTAGCGCGTCCCCAACGCGTCGCCGACGAACTGTCCCAGTAGACAACCAACAGCGCGGTTCCGCACTTCCGTACTGCACACACCACATGGCTCCGACACATTCGCCAAATTTTTCGCACTCTCGCTCGGCAGTGAAGCCGTACCTACCAGTGAAGTGGCACTTGCCAGTGAATCCACACTTGGCGGCTTCGCCGCCAAGGTGGCCTGATCGAGGCCGGACTCCAACTTCGGATCCGACACCGACTGCAAAGCGGGCCCGCCCCCTGGAGACAGCGTCTCCAACACAGCGACCAACGCTGGCGCCAGGCCGGTGTCTACTCGTGACTTGGACTCAACAGACCTCACCATGCACCTCGAAATTTATTTCCCCTCAAAATACTTCGACTGGGCCATCGTGGTGGCTAAGGCGAACTGTTTGCATTATTTCTTTTTGGTGCTGCTCCCCCCTCAATATGACTTGTGTGCGAGACAAACGGGTGATGTTTAGTAACTGGTTGAGCCGTCCAGGGACGTAATGCGTCCAGGGACATAATGCGTCCAGGGACATAATGATCTCCCAAGAATTTTTTATACACATCTTTGCCGCCGATAAGTATACGCTAGGGGTTAAATCGATGTCCTAGAATAACCCGTCAGGCAGGTCATCCTCATCCTCCTCTATCGAGGTTTTCTCTTTATTTATCCCCAGCGGCGAAGAAGGGTGTTCTGATACCAGCACTCCGCCAGTACTTCGGTTCATAACGAGGTCCCTCAGGGCGGTTTCTGCTTGTTCGACTGAGGAAATAGATATTGCGTCATGCACAATGCATTGTTGAGTTTCGAAAATTTTGTCAAATTTCGCTTCCGACATTCCACGAGATGTTATTGCACGAGCCTTGGCTGTCTCGTAAGGGACAGTTACGTAAAGAACCTTGTCGCACAAGTCATCCCACCCAGCCTGACCTAATACGGCGGCGTCAAGCAAGATAACTTTCGCCTGGTTAATTTCAATTCTCTTGTTAATTTCAGTTCTCTTGTTTGTTTCATTCCGTTGGGCTTGTTCAATCAATTTTTCTAGATGACAGCGCATCACGGGCCACACTATGCTGTTCAGCTTCTGTAAATATTGGGGCTGGTCAAATACAATACCCCCAAGTGTCCTCCGATCGAGAGTGCCATCTTCCTCATTGAGAATATGAGGGCCGAATTCCTTAGCCAGTGTCTGAAGGAGCTCGCCCCCAGGGACGTACAATTTGTGTGCAAGCTTGTCACAGTCGACCCACTCTACAGAAATCCCAATCGACTTGGATGAAATAAGTAATTGACGACAAATGGTAGACTTCCCCGAGCATATTGCTCCCGTAATGCCCACTACAAACAACATTTTTCTGTGACCCTTTTTCAGGGACCCTTTTTCAGGGCCCCTTTTTCAACTCAATAAATGGCTGCTATGGATCTCCAGAGCCTCCTGGACTCATCTTCCACCTTTGATGAAAGCAAAGTACGCCTGCTTGATCAGGCCATGGATTCCTTTTACTCGGGTACGCTACAACACAGCTTGATATTCACACTATGTTGACAACAATACATATTGACAACAATACATGTTGTCATTTGCAGGTACGGATAATGTTCGTATGAAAGAGGTCCAAGGTGTGTTGACCCAGTTGCAGCAGCATCCCGAGTCATGGCGTTTGGTGCAAACTATATTAGAGCACTCTCATTCCGAGAACACGCAGTACTACGCATTGTCGTTGTTGACGACGGCAGTAAAGAGCAGATGGAACGTTCTGCCTATTGCTGAGAGGGTACAAATCCCGAAATACCTTTATGAGTTGTCCATGTCTTTAGGAGGAAGTCGGAGTCCGTTATTGACTAAGATTAATGAAACAATGGTGTTAGTGTTGAAGAAAGTTTGGCCCAAAAATTGGGGGACGTTCGTAGAAGATTTAGTTGGCAGCGCAGTGGACCCGGTAACTGTTGGTAACAACCTGGCTATATTATCTTTGTTTGTTGAAGATGTTTTGGACTTCGGTGATGAGGAGGTAGTTAGTAGAAGGGCTCAACAGCTAAAGGAAGCATTGCTACAGAAGTTTCCAGTCATTTTGAATTTTTGTCTTGCTGTTATTGAAAAGGCGTTAGATGATTCTCAACTTAGAATTAAAGCCCTTCAATGTGCAGCTCTATGTCTTAAGCATACTCCAATTACGTTTACTCTTGGCTTAGACATTCCGAATATTATACTAACTTCTTGCTACGAGAATTATGATACAAGAGTTCAAACCATTAGATGTCTTACAGAGATATTTGAAGCACCAATGGACAACGCGCTGAACACAACCATGGACAATAGATCATCAAACATCTTGGGTGCAAACATCTTGGCACCAGAACATGTTCTATCCATCATTAAATGCTGGTCCAATTTAATGAACGCTTGCAAGCAATTGAGCCTTCAAACATTAACTGGATCCGTTCCCTTCAATATGAAGCAATTCTGGGAAACGTTCTACCTCTCCCTTGCTTTATGTGTCTCCAGTTTTCATAAACGATTCTTCGAACCTCTTATAGAAAGGCCTAATGAGATAGCCTTGATGGCAATGAAGGAATTGGGAATCCAACCCCTCCAACTAGCTGTGGACTCTATTGAAATCATGTCAATTGCCATTCAATCCCCAAGCGATGAGATTTTCAGGGTTTGCGTTGAATTTTGGCGCTCGTTTTCTGAAAGATTCGATAAGGCGCTTCTCAAAATCCGAGCTGTTGTTACTAACGATCAGGAATCATTACTCATGAACAAACTCGACCAGGAATACCAACAAGTGTTGAGCCAGGTCCGGAAAACTTTAATTAGAAGGATGGCTAAACCGCCTGAGGTCTATGTCGTATACGATGAGGATACTAAATGTACTACAAAGCATTATCAACCAGATACTGATGAAATTGCTCTTTATAACACATTAAAGGATACACTAAGACATCTCACAAGAATTCAACCGTCAGACACAGAGCATCACTGCAATGAGATACTCCAGACGTTCAACGACGTAAGCCCCGGCATCCCTCTCCCGTCTTGATGTCCCCTATCCGTCCCTATCCGGGTGCTATCTATTATAGTGTACTATAACTGCCGTGTCCCAAACAAAAATATATTGCGCGCACACATTTCGCGCACACATTTCGCGCACACATTTCGCGCACATATTTCGTTCAAATATTGCGAGCACATATTGCGCGTACATATTCCTAAATGTGTTTTAGTCGATTCAAAAAGGCCGCGGCGATGGTGATTGGAATATTCAATTGTTGAATAGGTTATGCTGGTCGGTGGGAAGTATCTCTGGTATAATGGATCCAAAGACGGAGTTGAATTTTCTGTTGGTGGTATTACGGGCATTATTGGGTTTATGTCAGCAGAAGAGTGGAAAGGAGAATAAAGCTCTGATTGCAGCTATGATTATGTATGTTATGGGTCAATTTCCTCGATTTTTGCGAGAGAATGAGCAGTTATTAAAGGTGGTTACAGGTAAGTGTTTGGAGTTTATGGAGGATACATTTCCTGGAGTACAAGACATGGCATGTGAGACGTTTTATAAGATAGCGCAATCATGTTCACGACCGTTGGTGTTGTTGCGTAATGATGACGGTTCATGTTATGTTGATTATTTGATATCAATTTTGCCTCGCAAAGTTAATGGTTTATCAAGTAGTCGTTTGACATTATTGGTGTATTCTGGAGTTTCAATGTGTATAGCAAGTCATCCAGATTCATATGAATCATTACGTTTATTGGAATTGATGATGCAACCATTAAATCAAACATGGGCTAGTAATCTACCAATGATATATAGTATATCGGATCCGAATGCATTACCATTGGATGTTGCTAGGACGGTCACTCAGATCATCGCAATAAATAACTGTGCTGCTGAATCGATGGCTGATATTTATACAGTGAATCAATTTCCTATGTTACTAACTGATATTTTACAAATTTATGAGAAATTTGAAAATCACATACAAGTGCAATCAAAATCAAATAAATTAAGACATGCAATTACTACCGAGATGAGATCGTATCGGAAGGCTACTCTTAAACTGTTCGATTCTTTATTACAAAATTATACTTCTGCTGAAAGTCATTCTTTATTAGAAGAAAAAATATTGCCGTATATACTTCAGAGAGTCTTCGTCTTATATGAAAATCAAAATCCAGAATTAAGGGAATATGAGGTACTCATGCTGGCTGATCTTGTTCTTAAAAAATGGAGTAATTCTAACGCTGGATTGTCCTATAAGTTGGATGATATCTTAAGACAGTTATTTGCTCCATCATTAGAGATGATTAAAACAAATTATGATTCATATCCGGAATTGCGAAAAAATTTCTTCACCTTTCTACGTACAGTGGTCTCTAAATGCTTTGAACAATGCTTGGGATATTTGACGCCATTTGTCATGTCCTTTATTTTCGGTATTCAACATGAAAGCCCCGAAGTAGGCATGTTGGCATTGGAAGGACTTGTAACCTTCATTATTAAGATCGGACAGACACCTCATATCCTAAAAGAATTCATTGTTGAATGCTGCTCTAACATCGTCAAGGAAACCGTTATTGTCATGACCGATACCGCACACAATTACGGTTTCCGCGAACAAACTAAGATCCTCTTCCTTTTACATAGCTGTTTCAGACAAGCAAACGTGCCCAGCTATGAAACATGCCTCATCCAATTCCTCGCCTCAGCCTACCCTAACCTTAACGTAACTAGATGCGAAATTCTTGGCAAGAGAATCGCCCTCGCGCAAACTGAACAGGACTCCCGAACAGCCTGCAAAGATCTCCTCATCTCACTCAAGGAATTCGCAGGCAGCGCAGAGGAAGATCTCATCTAGCCCCCCCTCCCCCGCCTCCTCGACCTATCTGGACGATTTCTCAGTGAATAAAAATCAACTTGGGCCGGCGGCCTACATGTTCAAGAAACGAAGCCATGTCGGGAGAAAGGAGGGGATAAAAAGGATCCGTGACGACGCGTCTGAGCCAACCCAGGACGTCGCTTCAACCCAGGACGTCGCTTCAACCCAGGAGGTTGCGCCAACCGAGGAGGTCGCACCAACCCAGGACGTTGCGCCAACCCAGGAGGTCGCATCTGTGGAGGACGTCGCATCCATAATGGTGGTGGGTCACGAACGCCGAGGAGTGAGACGCGAGGTTGAGACGGTGGAGAAGCCGGAGGTTGAGGTGCCGGGAGTACGAGATATGCATTTGGGAACGGTGGAGGGAGTAGAGCGAAGCGAGGTGGATACAGACCGGAGTCAGGATCACCGCGCGATCTTAGAACGTAATGTGGAGATCGGTCGGAAATTATTAAGTGGTGAATTGACACCAGGTATTTACCGAGGCAAGGCTGCTTACATCCCAGCAATGACTATGCGGGAGGGTGCAATCAGTGCGAACAAGTATACGGGTCTATATGGGCCGCTTCGAAGCACCGCTCAAACCCGCACTTGCAATGTCGACTACAATCCTGAACTATGTAAAGATTATAATGAGACAGGCTATTGCGGCTTTGGGGACACTTGTAAGTTCCTTCATGATCGCTACAATTACAAAGCGGGTTGGCAGATTGAACACGAATGGGAGATCGCTCAAAAGAAGAAGCAACAACAACTCAAAGATAGACTAGCACGCATCAAACCAAACTCCAAATCTGATGACGAAAGTAGCAACTATAGTAGCGACAATTAACCTCCTAACTTTCTAACTCGCAGAGCATATTAATACACTCAACTAGCTCGCTCGCTCCTGGATCAGGGGCTCGCTCCTGGATCACGGGCTCGCTCCTGGATCACGGGCTCGCTCCTGGATCAGGGCTCGCTCCTGGATCAGGGGCTCGCTCCTGGATCAGGGGCTCGCTCCTGGATTTATGTTCGACTTGTAGTTTTTAGCTAGTTAAAAATTCCAGTTAGAAAAGTTAGTCGTCACCACACAAATGAGGCTTGGTTCAGATCACGGGTTCGTGTGGCGATGTTAGATTCTTTTCAGAGACCTCATGTTAGGTGTTTGCATGAAAGGAAAGAAGAAGCACGCCTGTTGCTGCTTACCATTGGCAGTAGCTGGCGTAGGTATATCAGTCATTCTGATTATCTTCAATGTGGCCACATTCTTGCAGCAATTGGAGTACGTATTGGATATGGATGAGAAGAGTGCAAGTGCAATTGTTACGTTGATATTTACCGGTTTACCAGTACTGTGTGCTTGCTTCTCACTTTTTGGAATCATGTTCAAGAAGGCAGGTTTAGTCAACTTGGCTGTCTCTTGTATCATGCCATCCGTCGTCTTATACATCGTAGCTATCATCACACTATGGATCGGTATCATGCAACATAAAGATGAGGTGATCGAATCATCCAATACACTTGGATGGATTTCAGTCCACGGGGACAATGCCAATTACATCGTCGGCGCCATCGCCACTGCCGAGGCAGTCATCGTCATTGCGCTCCTTTGCTATTGCGGAGATATATTCAAATCGTGTGCAAACATGATCGCCCGGAAACAAAATCCTTGGAAGATCAAACAAGACGCAACCAACCAACGAGGCAAAAGAGTTGTTGAAGAAGACGATGATGATGACTCATCCTCTGTCTAGAAGAAGGTCTAAAACAAGATCCAAAAGAAGGTTATTTTCAAGAACGCCCATTTTCTGCTCTTTCCCTACAAGTGTCTAGAGTGACCCCTCCGTTTAATTGATCTGTCCGGCTTCATGTTTTTTTTCAAAAGGTATCAGGCAGTCGTATTCCTTAGTTAATACCCGTCAGGGTGCGCGACCGGGCCCGTCAGGGTGTGCGACCGGCGCCCGTCAGGGTGTGCGACCGGCGCCCGTCAGGGTGTGCGCGACCGTCGGTTGCCTTCGGCAGAGATGCACGTCTTTTTTGTGCGACCTCAACTCCCTAGCATCCCGTTCTGGCTACTGGATCTGGAGGGCTGGCTGTCCAAGGGGTCCAGGCCACAACTACGGGTGCCAAACTCACGCGCCGGGACTGAGACCCTCCGGATGTTCAGACGAACGGGCCGGGAGCCAAAGGTCAGCTGGGGGCTAGGGCGAAGCCACAGGCACCAGGCCGCGAGTAGCCCCCGCCCGGCGTTCCGGGGTGACCACCTAGTGTTCCCTCGGTTGTACAGCTACGCTGGGAAGGCACTCGGCGGCGGATATTGGGCCGAATCTCGTCCGGAGGGGATACGGGCGGAGCGAGCGGACGAGTAAGCGGAGTTCCGGACTTGATGCCTCGAGACGAGTCCTTGGGGCGACGTCGCGTTCCGTCCTCGCTCGGGTCGAGGTGTGCCCGGGAATATCGTGAGGCTCGTGAAGCTCGGGGAGAAGTGTGCTGTCGTGCCGAGAGGAACGTGCTACGGACGGATCGAGGGCTCTCGAGTGAGCGAACGACAACATCAACGCGCGGAGTGCGCGGGGGGCGTGCGTTCACGTTGTTGAACCGCATTGTCGGCCGGCGAGGCAGCCACGAGGGTAGTGGGCCAAGAGATGGTACCGACAGAGTAAGTCGGTGGTTGCAAAGGGTGTAATTGACCGGGTATTGAAGCGGAAGATGCAGGGCCGTAGTCGTTGGCGAGAGGGCCGTGCGAGCTTTGAGTACGTAAAGGAAGTAAGCCCCAGCCCCAACTGCGGAGTGGACATCCTCCCGGTACTTGCCGTAGTTGGGAATGTCGAGTGCATTCGCATCCGAGATTGATCTGGGCGGCACGCGTAGGCCGTATGGAGCTGCGCGTAACGCTTCAGTGAGCTGCGGTGCCGTGGCAGTGATGCAGGCAGACGAGGGACGCGGATAACGGGAGTGGTCAGGGAGAAGCCGGAACGCGGACGAGTGTAGTTATAGCGGCGACCCGACAGGGCCGGTCGCGGGGTATGTTGAGCCCACAGGTTGTGCGACCGGGATCCGTCAGTCGGCGAAGTTATTTTTGTATAGCGTGAACCCTCTACACCACCCTCTACACCCCGTTCAGTCTTCGGGTCACAACCCAGTCACCTGGAAGAGGACGGCACGTCGTTGGCGGAACAGCCCGTCTCGCAGAAGTGGCGGACGTCGAATCAAATTACGTAGCGACGATGAGGACCTTTCTTACTTTGTGCAGCATAGTGAGCACCTTGGCCATCAGTGCTGAAGGGGCTGCTTTGTTACCTCCTAATGAGGGTGTGATCGTGAGTGGTGGGTCTTGTTATTTACCTGCAGACATTGTGATCCTCCAAGACACTACTGGAAGTTTCATGGATGACATGCCCGTTGTCCGAGCTCAGATTCCGGAGATGATTAAGCAGGTGGCGGCGCAGTTCCCTGGCACCCGTTTTGGTATCGCGGAGTTCCGTGACAAGCCTTACTTCCCCATGGGTGAGTTGACTGACTTCTGCTACAAGCTACGATATGGCGAGCTCACTGACAACGAAGTGCGGCTCCAGTTTGCCTGGGACATCCTGCAGCCCTCCGGCGGCGGCGACACGTACGAGGCTCAGTACCAGGCAGGCATCGACGTCTGCTATGACCAGAACATCGGCTGGAGGCCTCTGGTCGATGGAGCGTACAACGTGGAGACGCAGTCGGTCAACTCCGAGAAGCTTC